GTGGTCTCAGACACAGGTCTTCACATGAGGTCTATGCAACACTGCACATTTTACAGCTATAAACAACAATCTGCTCTTCAGCAAATGAACACAGTTGAGCTATAGAAAGTTTCATGTGTTTAAGCTCGTAATTACCTTGTGATAAAAATATCAACATTAAATACATATGAATTTCTTTGTGAAACAAATGCTTTCCAGATAAGACATGATTCCACTGTTAGCCAATGGTCCATTTTACACAGATTTATTATGAGTTGCATTATGCTATGAACATATCCCAAATCATTTGTCTTTTACGATTCTTTATAAGCATTGTTTTCCAATTATTCACCATTACCTTTCAGATTTTCAAATTAATTAAAATTTTCTAATTAAAAAATTAAAAAATTAAAAAAGAAGTGCTGAAATATATTGTTGACATAAGTATTAAATCAATACTTAAAGCACCTTTGGCAGGGATCGCAGCCTCAAGCCTTTTGATGCAACAAGCTTTGCACATCTGGATTTGTGGATTTTCTGCTGTTCCTCTAAAGATTCTCTTCAGCGCCTTTGGTTTGAATGGGGACTGTCCGTGGATGTCTTCAGGTTTCTACAGAGATGTTTAATTGGGTTCAAGTCGGAGCTCTGGCTGGGCCACTCAAGGACATTCACAGATCCGTCCCTAAGCCACTCTTACATGATCTTTGACCAGTTTCCCAGTCCCTGTGACTGAAAAACACCCCTAAAGAATGATGCTAGCACCACCATGCTTCACTGTCGGGATGGTATTTTGCAGATGATGAGCGGTGCCTGATTTAGAGATGACTCTTGGTGATGAAATTCATCGGACCAGACAATCTTGTTTCTCTCAGTCTGAGTTCTTTAGGTGCTTTTTTACCAAGTGTGCTTTAATGCACAGAGTACAGTCCTGCGTTTGGCCATAAAGCCCAAATCTGTGAAGTGCAGTGATAGTTGTCCTTCTGCAAGAATGAAATATTTTCATTTGAATTTAGTTTGTATAATGTCTTACTTGGAAGGTATAACCCAGTAAACATTTTGAGATTATGCACCCCAGACAAATGTCTTTTCAGGTAAAGAGGGCCATCTTTGGTTTATCAAAAAAAGTACATTTACATAAATGTAGTTAGCAGAAGCTTTTATGCACAGCACCTTTCAAGTGCCAATGGGTTTCATCTGGTGATTGAAAACAAAAATGTTGTATAATTTTGGTTTGCTTGGTTTATATTTTGTGTTTGTGTAACTCTTGTATTATTGCAACTCAGTTTTTGACATGAAGATAGTCTTAAATGCTGATGTGGTAATAAAAATAAATAACTATTACTACTATATCTTTAACAGTAAGATCATTTTGTGCAGTAATGGAATCAAATTTTTTTTTCATTTTCTTTTCTTTCTTTTATTTTCTAATTTGTGGTTTCTGAGAGGACCTTTTGACATTTGGTCATTTAGTAAAACTTTATTTCGATAGTCCATTTTAGATATTCTGCTGATTTAAGTAACTTTGTAACTACATGTCAACTACCAGTCATTAGAGTATTGGTAGACTGTCTGCTTAACACACTGCTCAAAAAATGAAGAGAACACTTAATCATCAATCAACATCAAGTCAATTCAAGTCAATATCAGTCTGTCCAGCTAGGAAACACAAGTGATTGTGAATCTTTTTCACCTGCTTTGGTGCAAATGAAAGTGACAACAGGGACACTGGAGAGGCAACAGTAAGACAAACCTCAAAAAGGGTATGGTTTTGCAGGTTCTGCTCTCCTCTTATCCTTCTTGGCTGATTTGTCACTAGTCTTTGTGGATTTGTTGTGTAGTGTTTTGTTAAGGTCCTTCTCACTACTTGTAGCATGAGGCAGTACCTGCAACCCACTCAGGTTGCCCAGGTAGCCAAGCTCCTTCAGGATGGCACATTCATACATGCTGACGCAAAGGAGGTTTGGTGTGTTTTCGAGCACAGTCTCAAGAACATGGAGGAGATATGGGAGATGGGTGGTTACACAAGAAGAGCTGGGCAGGGCCGTAGAAGGGCAACAACCCAGCAGCAGGACCGGTATCTGCTTCTTTGTGCAAAGAGGAATGGGAGCACTGCCAGAGCCCACAAAATGACCTCCAGACTTCCAGCAGTCTACTAGTGTGCATGTTTCTGACCAAAGTGTGACGGATGACGAAGGCATCGATGCCACTGACTGGCTCTCACATTCCCCAGACCTGAATACAATTGAGAACATTTGTGACATTATTTATCACACACTTTTTAGTCCCAGTTAGTAGCCGAGCTGTTGCATTCTGGACTAACTGCAAGTGTTGAAGAGACGACTGATCCAATCCAACATATAAAGAGTTACAGTAGTTTAGTCGACATTATAAAATAATGGATTACTCTTTCAAACTTATTAAACGGCAGGTAAGGCTTGACTTTAGCCAACAGTCTCGGCTGAAAAAAAAAAAGCATTTTACAACAGAACTAATGTGTTTTTCAAATTTAAAAGCACTGTCAAAAGTCACACAGAGATTCTTGGTAAATGGACAAACATATCCTAAACTACCAAGAGCATCTATACAAGCACCTAAATCCCCAGGATGACCAAACACAACAATCTCAGTCTTATTTTCGTTAAGAAAAAGAAAATTCTGATCCAGCCATATTTTTAAATCTCTCAGGCAATTAAGTAATGACAGAAATTAAACTTTGTCATTTGTTTTGACGGGCAAATAAATTTGTACATCATCCACATAACAATGGTAGGAGATATTGTGTTTTCTAAAAATATACCCCAAGGGCAACATATACAAAGAAAACAACATGGGGCCTAATATGGACCCTTGGGGGACACCACAAAGAAGAAGGGCAGCAGATGAAGAAAATTCACCATGGTGAACAGAAAAAACTTCTGTCTGTCAAATACGGTTGAAACCATTTGAGGGCTATGCCCTTAATGCCAACACACTGTTCAAGTCTGGATAAAATAATTGATTGGTTGACCGTATCAAAGGTCGCAGTCAATTCCAAAAGGACTAATACAGCAGAGTTACCGGAGTCCACAGCTAGAAGAAGATCATTAGAAACTCTTAAAAGAGCAGTTTCCGTACTGTGACGGAGCTTAATCTTTTTGAGCATTATCAACTCTGGATGATGGATAGTAAAGCCCAAAGGGTCTTCTTTCCAAAGACACCAAAATTGTGTGTGTAGCACACTGTTGTCAGGAACTGCTACCATTTTAAGTTAGGTAGGTCATTTTCAGCTGTGAGTCCCAAAATGGGGGGTGCAGGTTAACAGGTTAAAACCAGACTGAAATTTTTCATAAATACTTTGTCTAAAATAAGACCAAAATTTAAGGATCCAAATTTTTATTTTTTAAAAGTGGTTGCACTGTTTAAAAACAGCTGGTACACACCCCTAGCTGAGCAATGTATTAACCAAAGATACTGTACAATGCTGGAAGACAGCTGGGCAAAAAGAAAAGTCAGAGGGGTCACTGATAACCATGATGGGTGGAAAACTTAGACCAGCAATTTTGTCTACAAAATATTTCAGAAAGTTTTCACATAATATTAAAGATGACACAATGCAGTCTGGGTTATCAAGAGAGTTAAAAACATTAAAAAGAACCTGAGGCCGCTGGCTGTTACTGGTTACAAGGTTGGACAATTTTTTTACTGCTCCCTGGTATTTACATAATGCGTCCTGCTAAATTTAAATGAGACTTTGAGTTTATCCTTTTCCCACTCTCTCTCGGCTACTCTGCAGGCACGTCTGAGGGAGCGGGTAATGTCATTCAACCAGGGTTCTGAAAGAGCTTTATGACATTTTTTCCTCAACGGAGCAACAGAGTCCAATATCTCAGTACAAGTACAGTTAAATAAGACAGTGAATTCCTCTACACTGAGATTACAGTCATCAAGATTGTACAACAAGGAGTCTTTAAAAGCACTAGAAAACTGTGAGGCAATTAAAGGCATAATATGTAAGATTTTTTTATTAAAATATCCAAAAACCACTAGAACAGTTTAA